CTGCGCCCGGGGGCAGGAGCGGGGCGGCCCCGGGGCCCCCGAGGAAGAGCGACTCCTTGCGGCGAGTGTGCGGGCTCTCGAGCAGCGCGCAAAAGCCGTAGGCGGTGCGCGCGCGCGGCAGGTGCGGCAGCGAGAGCGCGGCCTGCGAGCGCGGGTCCCAGTCTGTGTGCCCCGCGGCGTTGTCTATTTCTGCCGCTTGGATCCAGGAAACCCGGAGTGCAGCCAGGGCCGTGCAGGGCGCGAGTCGCGGGGGGATGCAGAACTCAGGGATGCGGTCCGGGGTGAGCACGTTTTCCCACGCGGCGGGCATGAGGGTCGGGACTCGGCGGCCCCGACCCTGAAGAATCCCGTTCCTGCCCCTCAGGAGGCGCTCGGGACCCAAGCGGAGCCTCTCCAGGCACCACATAAGGCGGCGGGTGCCGGATGCGAGCGACCCTCCGCTGGTGCTGCTGGGCTTGCACTTTGCAAGGGTACACCAGTCGTCAGAGGGAGCTCTGCAAGGCGCAGCAATTCCCGTGTCTTTTCTTCTACTTGAGGGGTGCTTTGTCCTTCCTCCCCTGGGACAGTGCAAGCTGCCCTTCACGCTGCTATTGCAAGCTATGCTTCAGTGATTGAAGAACAATCGTTCTTCTCTTGTCTCTAGTAGTCCTGTACAGTCGGGGCTTGTTGATTTAATCTCGATCCTCCGCTGGTTTAAGGCGGAGATTCTCACAATGTTGGCCTTTAACTTTGGTCGTGCCGTCCTCAATGCCAAGAGGCGCTTTGCTTGGGCAATCGTTTCCCGAATCCTTGGATTATTGCACTCTAGTCCTCGGCGAGAATTAAAATAATAATTATCCCCTCTAGGACTCACGGCTTGCCCCCAGGGGAGTTAAACAAGGATGTGGGTCCCTCCTAGCGTACCTGGGGTCCAGTGTCAGATGGGTGTCCGCCTGAGGCACGGTGCCAGGGAGGCGCGCAGCTTCTGGGAAGTTCAAAGCGCGCGCGGCGGGATTCAGCACCGCTGTTCCCGGACAGTCGGCCTGAGCCTTTATACCTGGGGCCCCCACAGCTGGCCAATGGGCGGGCGCGAGAGGCGCTGCTTGGTAACCTGACGCCAGGCCTTCCGCTCTGCCACGTGGCTAGGTCGACTGCGCAAATTCGAAACGTCCAGTTCCTTCTCTCCCTTGCGTCTGGTGGGTCTGTAATTCTCAGAAACCCTAAACAAGTTTCTATTTTCTCACGTGCGAAAAAGGGTTAAATCTCAACTATATCGAGAGTCATTGGGGGGATCGCCGCACGTATGAGTGTGAATCCACGGAAGCACTGTAAGCCCACCACTAAAAGAAGATTAAAAGTCGGGTTTGTATTATACTTACTTAAGACCGTCCCTGTCCCCTAAAAGCCAGCCTTTGAAGTTTCTTACCTGCTTTCTGGTGTTCAGTCCTGATTTTAAATGTATTTTCTTTGTTGATTATAAGTTACTCGGTACAGGAACCTTATGGAGTGCTGAAAATATTCCATATCTTGATCTGGGTGGGGTTACAGAGGTGTTTCCATATGTTAAAAAAATCAGTTAGCATACACTTAAAATTACATATAGGATTGTATCTCATACCTTAATTAAAAGAAATCAAAACCCACTTCTTAAGCCATGTGTGCTGATTTTTGATTGGGAAAATACACTCCTGCATACAACTGTGCTGTTGGAACATGCTTTGAAGGCACCCGGACAACCTCTGGCCTTTCTAGGCTGTACCCACCTGGAAGACCGTTTTTTTCCTTTTGAAAACTGACCCATGTTCATTCTGTAAGAGAACTGGTTCCAGCTAGCTCAGGTTAAAAGAGATCTGAGGCATTTTGTTCAGAATTTGAGTGTATGCTATTTCTGCTTAAAATACTGCCCTTTAAGTTAATTGCTTCTCCAAATAATGTTTAGTAATTAAACAAAATAATGTTCAGTGAATCATTTATCCAAAGGTGGTTTTAGGATGGGGCATGTGCATTTTGCTTTCAGGGTATACATACAGAGGCACTGTGCTTGATGATTTACATAATAGTCTCTAGAATTGTCACATAAACCTGCAAATTATGATTATTCCTAGTAACTTACCATGTTCACAGTGATGGGAAATGGAGGAAATAATACACATTAGTGGTCATAATTGAGTTGCTTTGGGAATTAAATGAATCTAATAATGTAAAATACTTAGCATTGTGCCTGGAACATGGTAAGTGCTAAATACACAGAAGTAGTGATTATTATTAATGATAATAAAAATAGAAGAGACGCTGTTGAGTGCTGTGGTTAAGAAAACTGGGTCTGAAATCAGATCTGGTGTTTTTTTTAAATTTATTTATTTGAGAGAGAGAGAGACAGACAGAAATAATGACAGAATATGAGTGGGAGGAGAGGGAGAAGCAGGCTCCCTGCTCAGGAGGGAGCCTGATGCAGGGCTCAATCCCAGGACCCTAGGATCATGACCTGAGCCGAAGGCAGACGCTTAACCAACTAAGCCACCCAGGTGACCCTCAGATCTGGTTTTGATTGTAGAATGGCTCCTTACTATGTGACATGAGCAAGTTACTAAACCTTTCTAAGCCAATGTATCAGATGTACAATAGTAGTTGGGACCTTTGAGAGGTAATTAAATTAATGATGGTATAAAAGAGACCCAGGAGAGCTCCCTCACCCCTTCTGATAATAATAGTATGTACCTATAGGGTTGTCATAAGTATATAATAAGATAATGCATATAAAGAGTTTAGCATACACAGCCTAACATACACAATGTCTGATATTTGTTGTTATTATAGAAGAGAACAAATGCTCTTTAGTTCATTTATTCATTCAAAGCAATATTTACTGACTGCTTCCTGGGTTTCAGCCACCATGTTAGGCATGTGGATCCAGGCTGTGCAAGATCACATCAGCTATATTCATCCATCAGAGGAGCAATGATGAGGATGCACTATTTGAATTCTGTCTAGCAGAGGCAGGAGTGAGAAGAAACTATTGAACAGGATTTATATACACTTAGTCTTGGTAGGGAGGCAGGGTTGACAGGTCCCTGGGCTTGCCATGCCCTTGACTAGCTATTTCTTTGTCTTTATATCATCTCCATGCCTGGCCAAAATTCTTGGGGCAGTGCTAAATCTATGGGAGAATGATTGCTGAATTATATACTTGAGGGTGGTGTGAATGTGTTTTGACTCACCTTTTGTCAGGAGACAGAGGCTGTTAGCTCTGCAAGTGAGAGCCTAGAGAGCCCTTGGTTAAAAGGGTGAGGCTCACAATCTGAGAAGTTGTTAAGCAAAGCTATGTTGTGGTGGGAGAAAGGAAGAAAGCACCAGAGCATGAGAAATGATTTATGGGTGAAGAAATAACAGACTTTGGAGTAAATCTGTCCTAGGTTGAATCTGTTTATGCAAATTTTTAGCTATGGGACTGTGGGCAAGTTAATTAACCTCTTTGAGTCTAAGTTGTAAAATGAGGGTAATAATATCTATCACACAAGACTATTGTGTTAAAAATACATGAAATGTCTGGCACACAGTGCTGGTGAACTATTAGCTGTTATTATTATACAGGTTTGCTTAGTCAGGGATTAGCTGATTCACACATGAAGTCCTCTAAAAACATTTTTCTTTGTGGCCAAGCAAGGCAGATTTGCTTTGTTTTTATTAACAATTCACCTTCTTCAGTGACACTTTAGAAGCATTTCCTGTGTAAGGTTTCTTGAAAACACCAGCCCTGTCTTTGAATGGCTGGTCCCCTGTGGCCACATTAAGCCTTATGTTTTCCTTACCTTAGAAGCATGAGCCATGGAGTACTTAGGATGATGGTGTAACTGGGTCAAGCCCTGTGCCTGGAACACATAGATCTACTCAGAAGAAGGCTGTGGCCCTTTACGGCTCACCGCTGGAACCATGGGAACATCCAGTAATGGAGCTCTAAAATAATTTGGTGAAATAAGCATGAATAGATCACATACCATCCAGGCCAGAGGTGTTCTTGCAGTAGGAGGAAACTGAACAATATAAAGTAGACTTAAAAAAATAATCAAAAAAAATAATCACTTGGAGGTTGGGTGTCACAGAAAGCAAGAAAAAGAGAGTTTATAACCAAGTAAAAAACATCAGTGTTCTGGATTATCCATCTTTCTCATTCAAGGAAGTGGAGTGTGGAGCAATGGAAAAAACACAGGCCAGGGAGTCAGGACATTGAGTTTTAGCTCTGACAGTCACTAACTTGTTGTGGAACATTAGTAAGTCCCTTAATTCTCTTTCATGCTCACTGTTTCCACCTGTCAAATGAAGGGGGTTGGATTAGCCAGATTTGTTTTCCTCTGGCTCTCAAATTCTACAATCCGATTCATTGCTTTCGGCCAGCTAATCTTCCTAACTTTTCTGACGTCCATGGTGTTATGCTTATGCTCTAGCTTTCTCCTCCATTTCTTTCTTTTCCCCCCAAATGCCTTTTGCTTTTCTTAACAAAATGTAAGAAAATAGCGTGTGGATGTGAGGTAGTGCAAAGTTAGAATTTCTTATTTTTCAGTTTTTAAGCAAGCGTTAATTTTTTTTTTTTTTTTTTTGAGAGAGAGCAAGCAAGCACACACCTGCGAGTTGTGGGGAGGGACAGAGAGAGAGGGAGAGAGAAAGAGAGAAACTTAGACTCCTCCACAGCACAGAGCCGGTATGAGGCTCAATCTCACCACCCTGAGATCATGACCTGAGCTGAAATCAAGAGTTGAACACTTAACTGACTGAGCCACTCAGGTGCCCCAAAAGTTGTTGATTTTTAACAAGTGTTCCTAATTTTGACTTCTGTTTTTAAAACAGAAATTATATTTTGCTTACCTGTTTTTATTGCTCAATCCCACATTGCAATTTACTTTTGCAATTGCCTTTGTTGTCACGTTATTCTTAAGCCAGATTGAATGTAAGAACTGTAATTACTACAATGTTCACTTTCCTATCCAAATTCCTTTGGGTATAGTGCTATACATCAGAGTGTTAATGGTGTTTCTTTACATTAGTTTGTTTTGGATTAGGACTGTAAATATCTGATTTCTTCAAGAAGTATGCAGGATTTGGAGCATTACTTTATGCACCTTATCAAACCCTCAAAACACACTTAAAAAGGAAAATATTAAAATTTATAAGCTTTTTCTACTATGTGGTAATAGCATTATTTATACTGCCAATATTAAGCTGAATTTTCCACCCTGAGATTTTCTGTTCTTTGATTAACCTTCCAAAGTAAGATCTCTGAGAATTACTACTAGCTTAGCAGTGATTTAATAACTACAATTATTGAAAGAGAAAATGATGGCAATGTTCAGGGAGCTAAAGGAAATTAATGCCTGCTGTGTAATTTTGGGTAAATTGCTTAATATTCCTGACTTATTTTTCTGTAAAATGGGGCAGTACTACTACCTGCATGACTTATCTCACAGATTTTTTGTGAGGATTACATGAAAATGCATACCTTGGCATAATAATGGTATGATAGCTCATGGGTTATAACTGAATATTAATAAAATGGAATAATGCATATAAAAAGCACATACATTATTCTTTCAAAAGTGTAAAGTACCATAGAAGTGCAAGGAATTATTATTATACAAGGATTAGTATTGCTCACTTCTCCCAGCAGATTATGCCTTCTGTTTCATTTGCTTGACCATGCTATTCTGCCTATGGCATATTCCATATGATCTTGCACTGTTCATACATCCTTGCATTGTTTGCTTAACTGTTTTATGGTGCATGCCTATCCCAACCAGATCATTATATATATATACATACACACATATATATTTTTTTCTTTCCCTTCAGTGCATAGTTGGTGTGAGTGTACAAGGAGAGAGGGATTGTTGGAGGAGGATGGGTGGACTAGAAACACCCTGGGGATAGATCTAGGAGGGCGTTCAGAACCCTGGAAAGTTACTGGGTGTTTTTGAACAGGTGACTGACTTGAGTTCGCCTGTGCTTTGGAAACTAGCTCCCATGGCAGCGTGCAGATGGATGGAGAAGGGAAAAACTGGAGACCAGTTAGAAGGTGATTGTGTGCTCCAGGTGAGATGTAAGAAGAATTTAGGAAATGTCAAAAGTGCAATAGACAGGTTTGGCTTTTATTTATTTATTTTTTAAAGATTTTGTTTATTTGACAGAGACACAGCGAGAGAGGGAATACAAGCAGGGGGATGGGAGAGGGAGAGGGAGAAGCAGGCTTCCCACCAAGCAGGGAGCCTGATGTGGGGCTCGATCCCAGGACGCAGATGGTGAAGGCAAGAAGTGCAAAGTGCCTGCTAGGTATTTTGTCAGGGTGACTGAGCAAGGAAAAACAAATGGTTAAGGATCTATTTCCTGTGTGTAGGAGTGGAGGATAGAGGTGGGTATCCATAGGACTGATTAGTATTGGTTCTTCTTTTTTTTTTTTTATTCTTATGTTAATCCCCATACATTACATCATTAGTTCTAGATGAAGTGTTCCATGATTCATTGTTCGTGCACAACACCCAGTGCTCCATGCAGAACGTGCCCTCCTCAATACCCACCACCAGGCCAACCCATCCTCCCACCCCCCTCCCCTCTAGAACCCTCAGTTTGTTTTTCAGAGTCCATCTTCTCTCATGGTTCGTCCACCCCTCCGATTTCCCCCGCTTCATTCCTCCCCTCCCGCTACCTTCTTCTTCTTCTTTTTTTTTCTTAACATATCTTGCATTATTTGTCTCAGAGGTACAGATCTGAGACTCAACAGTCCTGCACAATTCACAGCGCTTAACAGAGCACGTACCCTCCCCAGTGTCTATCACCCAGTCACCCCTTCCCTCCCACCCCACCCCCCACTCCAACAACACTCAGTTTGTTTCCTGCAATTAAGAATTCCTCATATCAGTGAGATCGTATGATACATGTCTTTCTCTGTTTGACTTATTTCACTCAACATAATTGATTAGTATTGGTTCCTCTTTTATGTCCATTTTACATAACACCAATTGCAGACATTTTGACTTTTTTTTCCTTCTCCAGTGGATTTTGAACTTAAGTGATTTTTCTTTTTGACCCTGTCTTAGTCCATTCAGGCTGCTATAACAAAATGCCATAGACCGTGTTGTTTAAAAACAATGCAAATTTATTCCTCACAGTTCTGAAGAGTGGGAGTCCAATATCAAGGTGCCAGGCAATTCAGAATCTGGTGAGGACCCACTTCCTGGTTCACAGAAGGCTGTCTTCTTGCTGTGTTCTCACATGGCAAAAGCAGTGAGGGAGCTCTCTGGGGTCTTTTTGGGAGGGGTGGAGGGTTCTTTTTTAAGAGGGTACTAATTCCATTCATGAGGACTTTGCTTAATTACCTAATTACCTAAGTACCACCTTAGGGCCCCATTTCCCAATAACAACACATTGAGGATTAATATTTCAACATATGAATTTTGGGGGGGACACAAATATTTGGTTGAGAGCAGTTGTTTAGGAGCAATTCGGTTTTTCATACATTATATGTAATGTAGCAAAGCAGTTAATAAATGCTTCTGACTACAAATAATCTTAGCATTTCTTAGGTTTATTTCTGTTCGCTGTATCTCAACAGCTTTCTGAAATATATTTTAGAAAAAAAGTCCAGTTCTCTAAAGAGAATTGGTTAATGGGTGGTTAAATTTTATTAAGGTAGAGAGTTCTTGCACTATAAAAGCCCCGCTTTTCAATGTCTTGCCACACTAGAACAGTTCAATGATAGTATGGAAGAAAGTGATATATAAATAACAGCTAACCCATACTTAAAGAAAATAAAGGAAGTACTACGTTTGTTCTTCATTTCCTTAATGAGGTAAGAAATGCCTCCTAAGTAAAAGTGAATCAAGCACAGGAGAAGGGTAAGAACAAAATGCACATCCCGTTGCCATTTTATCTTTTCATCCTATGATACCGTTCTGTTCCCTCTCACTTTTAAATAATTAAAATTTTCAAGAAGCAAAAAGAAACGGAGATGTTGCCCCTGGCGGGGTTAATGTAGCAGGACAAGAGTGCAGGGTCTCCTTTTTCCCACCTGACCCACGGGTGAAAGGGTAGTTGCCTGCGAAGTGCTGAGGATGGACTTGGGGCCTGGGAAGCTCCAGACCGATCGGGTCGGGTCCGCTCGGGGCAAGGCGAGGCGCTGGGGAGCAGCTTTTGCCCTGGACGGTGAGCTCTGCGGACCCAACGTCGACAGGAGGCGACGGCAGGCAAACAGAGCGGCCACACAGATGTCGCTGTGCTCAGTAACTCCTGCCCTTCCTTTTCCGTTTGGTGCCTCGGCCGCGGCTCCCCGTCGCTCCTCCTTCCGCCCTCGGATGGCTGGGGCCGCAGCTGCAGAGAGAAGGCGAGCTTGCTGCACAGCGTCCTCATCCTGAGATTGGCCGGGGCGGCTGCGGGGGCGGGGGCGGCGGCGGCGGCG